CCACTGAGCCACACCCTCAGCCTTTCACTGGGGGATTCTAGGCAGGGACTCTACCACTGAGCAATTCTCTCTTTTTACTTTTTATTTTGAGACAGAGTTGAATCATGCTATCCTAGGAAGCTTAGTGAGAACTTGTTTAAAAATAGAAGAAATGCTTCTGGGGTGTAGCTCATCAGTACAGCACTTGTCTAGAATCCCCCAGTGAGGTTCAGCAGCAGAATACCTTCCCAGCACACATGAGGTTCTGAGTTCAATCCCTGGCAATATGGGGGCAGGGAGGGGGTGAGAAGTTGGCAGTCACAAACTTTCAAAGTACTTACTTTCTTCCTCCGTCCTGTCTGTAAGGAGAAATGAAAGCAGCCATGTTCAACAGGGGTGAAGAGAGAGGGGGGGGGGGGGGGGAGGGGGGGGGGGGGGGGGGGGGGGGAGGGAGAGAGAGAGAGAGAGATTAATAGTTTTACCACCCAATAAGCATCCCTGACCAGTCAAAGACCAGAGATGAGAACACTGTCAGAAAGCAGGCCACTCAGTTCTCTCGATTTACAGGGAAAGACGGGGACTTGAGTCTGCAGGCTCCCTTCTCCTAATAGACATCTGTGGGACACCTACTGCATCCAGGCATAAGAAGATTAGGGTGAGACAGTATCTATCCCAATGAACAATATCCATGGCTTTCCAGGAACTTATAGAGGAAGGGGACAGAGGTAACCTGAAGGGCGTGGCAGGACCTTATAAAGGGGTGGTGGCTGCTGACCTGGAGTGGTTACCAGGGGAGGCATCTTGGAGGAGGATATGATGTTTTGTCTGAAACCTGAAAGATGAGCAGGGATTAACCGAATGGAAGAAAAGATGACCCTGCCTGGAAAGAACTCAGCTGTGAAAGGGCCAAGAGACAAGATTATGGATGGGTGGATAATGCCAGGACGTGAGTCATCTTTGCATCCTAGAGTCCATTCTAAGAGGAAGGGGTGAAAGACTCTGCGCCATCTCAGCATTACTGCCCCTCCTTCCCTGGGAACCAGGAACCTGATAATCACCCAAGCGTTTCCCAGGTACTTTTCAACCCTCTGCAGTTTTTTTTTTCAATAGACCCAGTTCCTGGAACTGGGGCAAAACAACCTGAAGATGACCTGCAGATGTTCCTCCTTGCTCAACTAACCCATGGCATTGACCAATTATAGTTATCTGACTATTAAATGAGCTAGTCACAATAGTTGACAAATGACTCCTGGACTCCCCTTTGATTCTGTGGTTTTTTTCCTTTAAAAGTAGCCTGCAACAGCCACTCGGGGTCCTTCTCCCCCCGAGGCTGAGGGGCCCTGTCGTGGCAGTAAATAAAATTCCTCTTGCTTTTGCATCAACTGTGGTGTGACGGTGGTCTCTTGGGGTGACCCCTCCTTGGTACGTGGGCTTTAGGGCCCAACAGGGATGTGTTCAAATCTTGGTTAATTCACCTCCTAGCTGCACAACACTTTTCCTCCATTTCCTCAACATAAAAACAAAACCAGGAAAGCTTTGGAAAGGTGGCTCAGAAGTTAAGAGAGCGCTGGCTGAGCTGGGCAGCGAAGGCACATGCCTTTAATCCCAGCAGAGAAATCCCGTCTCGAAAAAAACAAAACAAACAAACAAATAAATAAAGTAAAATAAGTTAAATAAATAAAGTAAAATAAATAAAAAAGAACACTGATTTTGCCAAAGTTCTGATTCCTAGCACCCACAGAGAGGCTCACAACTTCGTGTAACTCCTGGCTTCAGCCTATCTAATGCCCTCTTCTGGCCCCTGTGTGTACTGCATGCAAATGATTCACAGATACACATGTAGACAAAACAGTCGTATACATAAGACAAAAATAAATATATTTTAAAAAATGAAAAGAAACAGTGAAGTCCAGGTTCAGTGAAGATAGTCTGTCTCAAGAAAAACCACTGTGGAGAGCAACTGCAGGAGACAGCTGACACTGACCTCTGACCTCCACAGGAACATGTGTGGATTTACACACCCATGCACACACTAACATTCACACCTACATACGCTGCACATATATGCAATGGAATCATATTCAGGCGGTGCACCCATGTGATAGCACCACTCAGGAGCAGACGCAGGTGGACTGAAGGTTAAGACCAGTTGGGGTTGCACAGGAGATTTTGACTCAAAAAAAAAAATGGAATTGAAGTAGAAGAAATAACCTTCATATGAAAGATTCCAGAATGAGAAATGTCATTGTTAGAACTGAAGTTTCCCTGGACAACACACATGTGTGCGTACACACACACACACACACACTGTAAAACCATGGCATGGCATCTCCCCATCTTAGAAAAACATGGAGAAGATCTGAAAACCCTTTAGCTCATTTAAGGAGATGAATCATCCCATGGGCTGTATGAAATGAGTATGCGACCCGTGCATCTGCAGTCATCACCCTCCGCTTCCTGACTGTGCATGCAAAACGTGACCAGCTGCCTCAGTTTCCCAACACCATGGTTTCCCCCACATGCGACCCTCTCAAACTGTAAACTGGATAAACCCTCCCTTCTCGGAGCTTGGAGTATTCTGTCGCTGCCACGAGAAAAGCAAAAGATACAGCCTGGGATTTACCATGTATCTAGACTGTCCTTGAACTTAAAACCCTCTTGCTTCTGCCCCTCAGTGCTGGAGTCACAGATGTGAAACACTCCAGTTAGTTGTATTTTCCTCTCCTTTTAATTAATGGGGGCATGTGTGCATCATGGCACACATGTGGAGCTCAGAGGGCATCTCGAAGGCATCGGCTCTCTCCTTCCACCATGTAGCTTCTGAGGACTGAACAGAGGGCATCTCGAAGGCGTCGGCTCTCTCCTTCCACCATGTAGCTTCTGAGGACTGAACTCGGGTCATCATGCTAAACAGTAAGCAACTTTGCCCAGTGAGCCATTTTGCTGACGGTTGCTGAATTTTTGTCACTTGCTACTTTGTCCCCAAGTCCCCAGTGATTCTGACCTGACCCACTCTCCACTCCAAGCTGATTGTATAGATGTTAATGGAATACTATCCTACTATATCATAATGGCTTATACCAGTGGTTCTCAACCTGTAGGTCATGGCCCATTTAGTTAGGGTCACATTTCAGCTATCTGGCATACCAGGTATTTACATTAAAATTCATAACTGCAAACTGGGAGATGGTGGTGCACGTCTTTAATCCCAGCACTTGGGAGGCAGAGACAGGTGGATCTCTGTAAATTCAAGGCCAGCCTAGTCTACAAGAGCTAGTTCCAGGACAGGCTCCAAAGCTACACAAAAACCTGGTCTCAAAAAAAAAAAAGATTCATAATAGCAGCAGTAAAGTTACAGTTATGAAGTAGCAACAAAATAATTTTGTAGTTGGAGGTCACCACAACATGAGGAACTGTATTAAAGGGTCGCAGCATTAGGAAGATCGAGAACCACTGGTTTACACATACATGTGGAGGCCCGGCAATGTGAGCCTATTTCCATGTTGACCAAAGGTCAGAGAATTGGAACTTACCTCCAGTTCCTTCAAGGTTAATTGTGCTTCAACCTCAAACAAAGGTCTCACCTACATTTAAGTGAGAGTTCTGCTCTCTCAAGGTTATTGTCAACAGGTGTGTTTAATATTCAGACTTTGTACTCCAGGAAGAGAGAAGCAGATTGTTCCTACCTCAAACAAGAGTCTAAGGATCCAACTAAGTTCCAGTTCCCTTAGCACCCATGCAAAAAACTGACTAAGGCCAGCTGCGCCTGTAATCCCAATACTAGGAAGATGCCATACGGAAGGATCCTGTAATGTAAAGATTTCAGTCACAATAAGGCTGATACTTCCGGGTTCTAGGGGCCATGCATGTGCAGACAAACCCTGAGGCAGAAGTGCCTAATGGCCCTCGGAGATGTTAAAGGGCACCACATGACCCATGTGCGGTGTGGATTGCATCATCCACGTATGACTCAACTAATGCCTTGCATGCATGCGTGGTTACATCATCTACATATGACTCAGCTAAGCCCTTGCGCGCATGCATGAACCCCATCACCTGCATGTGATGTAGCCACATCAACCCCCTGTGCACATACTGGATGCGCCATCTTCCTCTCTCTCTCTCTCTCTCTCTCTCTCTCTCTCTCTCTCTCTCTCTC